TGCAGTGGCATGATCTCGGCTCACTGCAGCCTCTGCCTCCCAGGTTCAAGCAATTCTCATACCTCAGCCTCCTGAGGAGCTGGGACTACAGGTGTATGCCACCACACCTAGCTAATTTTTTGTATTTTTGGTAGAGATGGGGTTTCACCATGATGGCCAGGATGATCTTGATCACCTGACCTTGTGATCCACCCACCTTGGCCTCCCAAATCACCCAGCCCCTTAAGGCAAAATTTTATAGTAATATATATATTTTTAGAAACCGATGTTTATTTTCCGTCAACCTTATTTCCATGAGTAATATATTTCATATTTAAAAAAGATCTCAAATAAACTAACTTGAATCCTCAAAAAACTTCAAAAAAATAATTAAATAATCCCAACATTAGCATAATAAAATAAAAATTAGACCAGAAACAAATTAGAGACTTAAAAGGTAAAAAAAAGATAAAGGCAGAGAAAGAATTTACATATATAAGTTTTCTAAATCAAAGGTTTTAAGAAAACAGAGGAGAATAAACACTCTTCATTTTCCAATTTGAGGATTAAGTCTCTTAATTCTATTTTGCATTTATATTTACAATAACCACACCGAAAAACTTTGCCTTGAACTCATGGACATCTGATTTCCAGCAGGGCCTGTATTTAGGCACCTGCAGGGTGACATTGGGCCTACTGTGTTCACAAGAAAGAGAGGGTCTGTTGGGGGGAAATGCAGAATAAAAAAAGGTGCTATCAAGAACCCATGGGTGAAGGTCAGTGCACAGTTGGTAAAATAATTGGTTAGCGCTCTAGATATTGGCCCAGGCAGGACACCTCTGACATATAAATGTGTGCATGCAGGGAGATGAGCTTGTCAGGCGATCCAGAAGCTGATTCTACTGGAGAAAACAGGTTACTGGTGCAAACTCAAGATCTGGCAGGTAGAAAGAGCCCAGGAATCTTCTGGACACTTATGTAGCCTATTCGTGGAAAACTCTAGAAGCAGGTGCTCTCAGCACAATTCCTGAATGAAGCTTTGTCATGAGACAAGTGTGGCCACACCATTGCCTAGCATGCATGTGTGTGAATGTGCAGAAATCACATTGTAGCAGAAGGGTGGAAGGAAGAGTCTGTCCTCAGAACTCCTTCCCTTTAAGTCCTCAGTCCCCTATGGAGGAGATCTAGAATCACAGGACACCTAACCATGTGACAACTTGTGTGCAAAAGAAAATATTCTCAGCTGGGCGCCATGGCTCACACCTGCAATCCCAGCACTTTGGGAGGCCGAGTTGGGTGGATCACCTGAGGTCAAGAGTTAAGACCAGCATGGCCAACATGGTAAAACCCTGTCTCTACTAAAAATACAAAGAATTAGCGGGGTGCTGTGATGCATTCCTGTAGTCCCAGCTACTCAGGAGGCTGAGACAGGAGAATCACTTGAACTCAGGAAGCAGAGGCTGCACTGAGCTGAAATCACACCACTGCACTCCAGCCTAGATGACAGAGGTAAACTGTCTCCAAAAATAAAAAGGAAAAATAAACTCTCCATTTTTCAGCAGACCCACCATCTCCCTCCAACCAAGTCTGCTGTGACTTTTTTTTTTTTTGAGACAGGGTCTCACTCACGCTGAAGTATAGTGGCAGGATCTCAGGTCACAGCAGCCTTGACCTTCTAGGGTTCAAGCAATCCTCCAGACTCAGTCCCCCAAGTAGCTGGGAATACAAATGCGTGTCACCATGCCCAGCTAATTTTTTGTATTTTTGGTAGAGGTGGCATTTCACCATGTTTCCGAGGCTGGTGCTAAATTCCTGAGCTCAAGCCATCTGCCCTCCTTGGCCTTCCAAAGTGCTAGGATTACAGGCATGAGGCACCACACCCAGCCTGATCTCTTTATTCCAACACCAAATATATGGAGTTTGCTCAGCACCAACCAATCCTCCAACACAACTGAGTGCCCAACAACTCAATTCTGACAACACCCAGGGTCAGCATAGACCCCATCGGCTTAGGGCTCAGCCCCACAACACTGCTTCCACTGCACATGCCAGTCACAAGCCCCAGGGGCCCATCTATACTTCTGAGCAACTGACTATAAATAATGAGCTTCCATAACTCCTTCCCTGAAGTTTAATAATTTGATAAAAATACTCACAGAACTTAGCAGAAACACTTTACATATGTTTACCAGGTTATTATATTGAATACAACTCAGTAAAAGCCAAAGGGAAAAAATGTATAGGACAAAGGAAAGTGGGAGAAAAGATGAGGTGGGTAGTGAACCTTGGTAAATAGCTATGTCTGTCTCTCCAATCCTTTGTGCTCTGGAAGAAAAGCTTATTGCAAAGACCCTTTTCATTATGACTTTGATGATGCTCCCTCTTTAGATATCACAAATTCACAGGCTCTACATTCTCATTTTTCCCTCATAAACAAATAATGTTGTCTTTAGTGTTCAGAACCGAATACTTGTTAACCAAACTTTGCTTACATTTCTCTCCTTCGCCCAGGCCCTGGACTCTGCTCCACCTTCAGTCTCAGCCAGCATACAACCTCTCTTTATGTCTCTGCCAAGAACAGGCTGATTTCAGGGTGAAACATTCTCTAATCTTGAATCTAATTTTGCCATTCTCCATTCTGCCCTTTCTCTCCCACCTTCTTTCTAATCTTGTTTGCTCCTCTGTATGAAAAATGGCCCTTTTCTGTCTCATTTTGGAGATGCTTGCAGGTCTTATGCTTGATGCTTTCCCCATTGCAATACTCCTTAGAAGAAACTCACTTTTAGGCCGGGCACGGTGGCTCAAGCCTGTAATCCCAGCACTGTGGGAGGCCGAGGCGGGTGGATCACGAGGTCAAGAGATCGAGACCATCCTGGTCAACATGGTGAAACCCCGTCTCTACTAAAAATACAAAACATTAGCTGGGTATGGTGGCGCGTGCCTGTAATCCCAGCTACTCGGGAGGTTGAGGCAGGAGAATTGCCTGAACCCAGGAGGCGGAGGTTGCGGTGAGCCGAGATCGCGCCATTGCACTCCAGCCTGGGTAACAAGAGCGAAACTCCGTCTCAAAAAAAAAAGAATAAACTCACTTTTTATTTGACAATATCTAGAAACAGCCCCATGACAATAACAATTACACCCTCTCAGAGGATATCACAATCTCTTCCCATCCCAACCCTCACTGCATCTGCCTGTGGATATCCAGCTTTCCAGGGGTCTGTAGCTTCTCAGTACAAAGTCTCCTTCCCTATCTAATTTGAGCAGGCAGGGACACTTGAAGGAAAGGTTCACCTGCAAAACATTATTGGGCTATTAATGACCTGCTTTGGCAGGATCAAGATTGACCTTACCCTGCAGTCAACGGGCTTAGGTCTCTGATCCTCAGTCAAGGTTATTCACTTAGTTTTGCATAAAAAAACTCAGTAGTTGAAGAATCCAGCAAAATTCTTCAAACCAGTGCTTATATTTATAGGAAGAAAGAAAATTGTAAGGCACTTAAATTTTATACTTCACCAAGTATATTGAAGTATAAATGTTTCTCCAAAGATGAAATACACAGGAGCCCACAGACAGAAACATCCATCTGTGCCCCTGGATGTAGGCTTGCCAATATTTATTTGGTGGTGGATCTTGACACAGCAACCAATTTTTGAGAAAATTTCTAATCTTTTGAAAAATGTAAAGCAAAACCACAATGAGGTATTATTGTGCATTAACTAGGATGGCCAATATTAAACAAACAAAAAATAACAAATATTGTCAAGAATGTAAAGGAAATGGACAGGTACGGTGGCTCACGCCTGTAATCCCAGCTCTTAGGGAGACAGAGGCAGAGGACAGCTTGAGCCCAGGCTTTTGAAACCTGCCTGGGCAATATAGCGAGACCCCATTCTCCACAAAAAGGAAAAAAAGAAGGAATGTAAATGAATTGAAACCCTTATGCACTTTTTTTCCCTTGGTGGAAAAAAAGTGATGCAGCCACATGAAAAATGTATGCAAGTTCCTCCAAAAATAAAAAAATGAATATATATGACCCAATAATTCCACTTCTGAGCATCTATTCAAAGTATGCAAAGTATGTATACCTGAAAGAAATATTCACACATCCATGTTTACTGCAGAAATATTCACTTTATTATTCTCACATTCCTATAAATAAATACCTGAGACTGGATTATTTATTTTAAAAAGAGGTTTAATTGGCTCATGGTTTTGCAGGCTATACAGGAAGCACAGCAGCTTCTGCTTCTGGGGAGGCCTCAAAAAGCTTCCAATCATGGCACAAAGCAAAGGGAGAGTGAGTCATCTCACATAGTGGGAGCAGGAGCAAGACAGTGTGACAGGGAAGGTGCCACATTTTTTAAAAAATAAGATCTCGGCCGGGCACGGTGGCTCAAGCCTGTAATCCCAGCACTGTGGGAGGCCGAGGCGGGTGGATCACGAGGTCAAGAGATCAAGACCATCCTGGTCAACATGGTGAAACCCCGCCTCCACTAAAAATACAAAAAATTAGCTGGGCATGGTGGCACATGCCTGTAATCCCAGCGACTCAGGAGGCTGGGGCAGGAGAATTGCCTGAACCCGGGAGGTAGAGGTTGCGGTGAGCCGAGATCGCGCCATTGCACTCCAGCCTGGGTAACAAGAGCGAAATTCCGTCTCAAAAAAAAAAAAAAAAAAAAAAAAGATCTCAGGAGAAGTCACTCACTATGGCAAAGACAGTATCAACGGGGCCGCTGCTAAACCCTATGATCCAATCACTTCCCACCAGGCCTCACCTCCAACATTAGGGATTGCAATTTGACATGAGATTTGAATGGGGTCATAGATCCAAACCGTATCATTTACAAAACTGAAAAAGTAGAAGAATTCAAACATCCTTCTTTTAAAGTCATTCATTCATTGATGTGGCTTGTACATGCAATGAAATATTCTTTAGCTTCACATGAAAATATCTTGTCAGATGCTACAATAATGATAAATCTTAAAGCCATTATCTTAAGCGAAATAAGACACCAACAAAGTGACAGTGCATGATTCTACTTTTACACAATATTTTAAGCAGTAAGCATATAGAAAACAGAACTAGAAAGGTGCTTGCCTATGGTTAGCTCTGTGAAACCTCAGTGGAGCCAGAGATCAACAAGGGTTATTTGGAATAAGAAGGCCTTCACTCAGATGGCCAACTCAAGAGCCCATAGACATGGCTACAGACAAGGAAATGGTGCACCAAGCTTGGTCTTACTAAGAATTCTGAAGCAGTTCTGCAACCTTTTACAAACTCCTCTCCCAGCTATACTACACAAGTGGTCCTTCCCATCAAGAAACCTGCAGGGAGATAAGCTCAGCCATGGCTCTGGAGGCAGGCCTGCAGATCTTGGCCTCAACTGTGGTCCCTGAAGCAGCCCTGTGACTCAGTTCTAGCCCTCACAACCACAGTACGTGGCCAGTTGTACACAATCACGGAGCCAGAGAGAGACCTGTGAAAACTGTTCCCTGGTAGTCAACAGAAGCCCAACCCATTCATATACCTGGTATCTGGCCCATCATATGCAGACAAACTTCAAAACCCTAGCCTACTGCCTGCCATATAGATTAATATCCTCAAGGAAATTTAATCTTTCCAGGGCCCAAAAAGAATCCATGACTGTCCAAATCTCTGGTAACAGAACCATCAAAGGCAGACCCCACAGCAGACCCAGCAGCACCCTTGTGACCCAACTAGAACCCTTCTCCGTAACCCCAGAGGTAATATCATCAACCTGGGGACTCAACAAAAGGAGATCTTTACTTGCCAAAAATAGTTTATAGAAACTATGAGTTGCCAAATGCACAAACACAGGGCTGCTTCAAAGACCACAGCCGAGGCCAAGATCTGCAGGCCCGCCCCCAGGGCCACAGCTTCTATCTTAACATATTACTGGAAATTTGTATCAGAATAATTAGATAATGAAAAGGAGAATAAAGCTCTCCACCATGGAAATGAAAAAAAAAAAAGTTACCATTTGTGAATAATATAATCATGCATATATATAAAACCCTAGAGTAAAACCAGAAAAATTGATTGAACTAATAAATGTATTCATTAAAGTATCAGGATACATAATCAAAATATAGATGGTTGTTGGGATTTTTTTTGAGACAGGGTCTCACTCGATTGCCCAGGCTTATCTCAAACTCAAGTGATGTAACTGTCTTGGCCTCTTAAAGTGCTGGGATCACAGAAATGAGCCACTGCACCTGGCACCACATACAAATATTTCTTGCATTTCCACAGAGTAAAAACAAACTTTCCAAAAAAAGAAACTGTTTCCATTTGCAATAGTATAAAAATAAGAAAGTTAATCTAAATAAATTTAACAGATGACGTAAAAAATATATAGTATTATACACTAAATACCATAAGATATTAATGACAGAAATTGAAGTAGACGCAAATAAATGGAAACATATTCCATTAGGATAACTAATATTGTCAAAGAATATTATCCAAAGTAATCTACAAATTCAATGTGATCCCTATCAAAATATTACTGGCATTTTTCACAATAATAGAAAACACAATTGAAAAATTTAAGTAACCTTAAACGACTTTAAATAACCTGAGCAATCTTGAGAAAGAACAAAGCTGGGGGGCATTGTACCTTCTTTCTTTCTTTCTTTTTTTTTTTTTTGAGATGGAGTCGGGCTCTGTTGCCAAGGCTGGAGTGCAATGGCACAATCTAGGTTCACTGCAACCTTTGCCTCTTGGGTTCAAGAGATTCTCCTGCCTCAGATTTCAGAGTAGCTGGGATTACAAATGCCCACTACCACACCTGGCTAATTTTTGCATATTTTTAGTAGCGACAGGGTTTCACCATATTGGCCAGGCTAGTCTTGAACTCCTTATCTCAAGTGATCCACCCACCTCGGCCTCCCAAAGTGGTATTACAGGTGTGAGTCGTCTTGCCTGGCAGGCATCATGCTTTCTAATTCCAAACTTTCAAAACAAAAGACTTAAATATAAGAGACAAAATCTTAAAAACTCATGAAGAAAACATATAGAAAAACTTTGGTCATATTGGTCTCAGCAATAACTTTTTTGAAGTGACATCAACAGCACAGCAACAAAATAAAATATAAACAAGTGAGACTGCATCAAAGTAAACAGCTTCTACAAAGAAAAAAACAAAACAAAACAAAAACGCAAAATTTTGCTCCTTCCCCTGTCCCCTCCTCCTCTTTAAAAAAATTAAAATTAAAAATAAAATTAGAAAAGCAAAAAATTTTAAAACCCTACAAAATAGAAAAGTATTTGCAAGCCATATCTGACAATAAGTTAATATTCAAAATGTGTAAGAAATTTCTGCAATTCAAAGCAAAACAATAATGATAACATATTCAAAAATAGGTAAAAGGTTAGATTTTTTTTTTTTTCTCAAAGAAGAAATACATTCAAGGAAAATCTTGTACGCTGCTGGTGAGATGCAAATTAAAGTAATCATAAAAATACAGTAAAAAATAAAACTAGAACAATCACATAACCTAGCAATACCATTTCTGGGCATAGTACCAAAGGAAATAACTTATCATCTAGAAGAAATATCTTCCTCCCCATGTTTACTGTAGTACTGTTTACAATAGCCAATACATGGCGTGTGTACATATACATACACAGGATACTATTCAACCATAAGAGAAAAGAAAATCTAGCCATTTACAATGTGGAGAGACCTGGAGGACATTATACTTAATAAATAAGCCAAGCACAGAAAGACAAAGAAACGGTATCTTCTTAGTTAGATAGGAAATCTAAAAGTGTAAACTCACAGAAGCAGACAGCAGAATGGTAGTTGTTAGTGCCTGAGGTTGGGAATGTGAAATGTTGGTCAAGAGTACAAATTTTTAGTTGTAAGTTGAGTAAATCTGAGAAATCTAATGTACATTAGCATTAGATTACCAAAATAGCATTTAAATTTGCTACAACAGTAGGCCTTAAGTATTCTTACTACCAAGCAAAATGGTTATCTATGTGAGGTAATAGATTTACGAACTTGACTATATTTGGTTTCATAATATATATGCATATCAAATCGTTACATTGTATACATTAAATATATAGTTATATAATTTGTATCAGAAAAATCCATGTCACACAAACACAGATGAAGTCCTCACTCAATGTTCAAAATAGGTTCTTGAAAACTGCATCTTTAAATGAAACAATATTGCTATATACCATTCAAACATAACTCCTGTTTGTATCAATTTAACTGATAAAATTAGTTTTCTTAAACTATATGTTGCTTCCCTTAGCTTCCAAGAACTTAATGACAATGTTACGTGAGAATTTACTATGCACTTATATAACTTATATAGGTGTTGGTGTGAGACACATATTTTTATATAGATACAGATACATCTCAATGATAGAATCTCAGTAAGACAAAATTATAATAGTTATTAAGAAATAAGGTAACAATTGAGAGCTTGATATATACTTAGCAATGTTCTACGCTGGTTAATGATATAGTGCATTTAAGAAATATAGAAGGTGAGTAGATACTGTAATCCAGTGGTGTCCAACTCTTTGAATGCAAGGCCTTTTTTGCTTTTCTGTATGGAGGATATCACAAAATTTTTTCACAAACCTTTTTTTTTAAGCTCATCAGCTATCATTAGTGTTAATGTATTTTATGTGTGGCCCAACACAATTTTTCCAATGTGGCCCAGGGGAGACCATTCTTCTTCCAGTGTGGCCTGTGTTGGAAACCCATACTTTAAACTCTATTATAATTTCCAAAATTTGCACATATGGTTTAAATTACAAACCTGTTTATACTAAAACAATAATATTTTGAAGTAAATTAACATTAGATTTTTTCATATTTAGGAAAATGCTTACTGTTCGGATAAAATGCTGAGTAAGAATTTTTGTAGAATTACATTTGCAACCTCTATAGAATTAAAAATCACTAGGCAGAAAAGATACAACATCTGTCCCTGGTATTCCTGGGATTTCTGTACCAAATCCCAATATGTCCATTACTCACCTTACACATTCTAGACATGATGCAAAAACAGTACATGAAAAAAATCCATTACCATAGAGTTCCTCAACACAAATATTCCAATGTCTCCAAAAGCAATGGAACAGCAGTCAGATCATGCAGCCCCTTATAAGTGATAAAGTGGACATTGGCTTTCCCTGTAAACTTAAAGGGAGATCACTGAAGAAAAAAGAGAATTCTTAGACGATTTAACAGGATGGGACAGATGATGACCCTATTTGTGAACATGAGAATAAAAATGCAGCTTTTCCAGAAATTATATTCATTGGAGCGGAGCTTCCCAAACTACTGTTTTTTTTTTTTTTTTTTGAGACGGAGTCTCCCTCTGTTGCCAGGCTGGAGTACAGTGGCAAGATCTCAGCTCACTGCAAGCTGTGCTTCCCAGGTTCACGTGATTTTCCTGCCTCAGCCTCCCAAGTAGCTGGAACTACAGGCACGTGCCACCACATCCAGCTAATTTTTGTATTTTCAGTGGAGACGGAGTTTCACCATGTTGGCCAGGATGGTTTTGATCTTTTGACCTCGTGATCTGACCACCTCGGCCTCCCAAAGTGCTGGGATTACAGGCGTGAGCCACCATACCTGACCCCAAACTACATTTTAAGGCCTGGGTTCCTTCTTGACCTTTGGTCCCCTTGCCTGTGTCCTCTCCTTCATTCACTCTCACTTACCTGGTGGTCTGGCTACTGTCTTACGTATCTTCACATTGAAGGGCTCCTTTCTTTGCTCCAGACAGGTGACCAGGCTTGGGTTAGAGATAGCAACACCAGTTTTTTTTAAAAAAAAAAAAAAAAAAAAAAAAAAAAAAAAGACTATTGACGGGGATTCTCCAATTACCAACCTAGTATGCTAAGCAGAATAGAGAGATTATGGAAGATTCTAGAAAATTAATCCAAAAATTGTTTCCTGACAGAATCTTCAGAATATTTAAGTATTTTAAATCTGTGAGTTCTAAGTTTCACTACCCAGTACTACTGAATCAAAAATAACTTAAAATACGATACAAATTGTATTTTAAGATGTGGGAAATGATATTGCATGTCACTGAATTTCTAGAATTACCACTAACCGAAAGTGAAGGACACAAATTAGCTCAAGAAAACAGAAGACTTATGTAACGACAAAACAAAAAAGTTCCCAAGAGACATTCTACAAAGGAATAAAATAAAGCTGAGAAAATTAGGAATTATGTATTAAAGTTATCCTCACCCAGGGAGACCAGGTTTCTGTAGTTCTCCAACATCACATCTTTATATAAATTCTGCTGGGCAGGGTCCAGACATTTCCACTCTTCTGGAGAGAATTCTATGGTCACATCCCTGAATGTTAAGAGTTTCTGAAAATACATATGTATCAAGTTACAGAGTTCTTAATTTGACTACAGGTAAAATGAGTTAAGAGAACTAGTTCTGACATGTGATTGGGATTATCTGACAAAACAACCTTCAACACAGTAATGTTCTCTAAGTATTCTATTCTGTAACTGCGGAAAAAGGAGGACAAGCAACAATTTCTGTCGCTGCAATAAAGAAAATGGCCTCAACAGCACCAAGATGGCCGATTAGGAGCAGCTCAGGATTGCAGCTCCCAGCAAAAGCGCAGAAGGTGAGTGGACACCGCATTTCCAGATGGATTTTTATTGCCCACAGACCAGAAGATTCCAGGCAGAGAAGCCCCACAGGTCGCCGTGAGGATGTTTTGGCTAGTGTGGCTGGCTCAGCTGTTTTGGCCAGAGTGGCTGTTGTGGTTGGCGCCCCGGCGCAGCAGTTCTCGTACAAAATACACAGGTCTGGGCACCATTTTAACTGGTGATTGGACTCAGGGAAGACAGAGTCGCACATTCAACTGATAGAAAATGGGATTGAAACAGGGAGCCAGGCCAGGAGATTCCCAGGCAAAAAAGTGCCATGAATCTCAGAACCGCTGTTTCAGCCAGTGCAGTGGGTCACCGCACAAGAAATCGCACAGATCCCAGCTCCTTTTCAACAGGTGACTGGAACACCTAGGAGACAAAAACAAAAGGCCCTGAGGCAGGGAGTCAGGTGATCAGGCTCGGCTGGTCCCACCCCTACAAAAAAAACAGCAATCTGAAACACTCTGGATTGAGAGTTTCACAGCAAGCACAGCTGAACCCGGGACTGTCCAGCTCTGTGAGGGAGGGGCGTCAGCCATTACCCAGGCACTCCATCACTATGGAGGTAGTTTGCCATTACTGACGCAGCCCACCGTTGCTGAGGCAGCCCACCATTACAGAGAGAATCCACCATTACTGAGGTGAGCCGACATTACCAAGGCAGTTCTGACTACACCCGTATAAATAGGACTGCAGGAAAGTTCACACGGCAGCTGGGCGGAGCCCACAGCAGCTCAGCAAAGCCTCTGCAGACAGACAGTGAATAGGCTGCCTCCTTGCTGGGCAAGGCAGTCCTGAAAAAAGCCAGCAGCACAACAGAAACTCATAAATAAAGCCCTAACTCCCCAGGACAGAGCACCTGGGAAAAAAAGGGCGTTTATGAGTTCTGCTGCAGCAGAATTAAACGTACCTGCCCAGCAACTCTGAATGAACAACAGAGCTCACAGCTCAGCACTTGAGCTCCTATAAAGGACAGACTGTCTCCTCAAGCAGCTCCCTGACCCCCATATAGCCAAAGAGTCACCTCATAAAGGAGAGCTCAGACTGACATCAGGCGGGTATCCTTCAGGGACAAAGATAGCAGAAGAAGAAACTGGCAGCAACCCTTACTGTTCTGCAGCCGCTGCAGGTGATCCCCAGGCAAGCAGGGCCTGGAGTGGACCTCGGCAGCCCTACAGTAGAGGTCCTGACCGTTAGAAGGAAAACTAAGAAACAGAAAGAAATAACTTCATCATCAACAAACTGGACGTCCACACAGAGACACAATCAGAAAGTCAACAACTACAAAGATGACAGGTGGATAAATACACAAAGATGGGAAGAAACCAGCACAAAAAGGATTAAAACACCCGAAATCGGAACGCCTCTCTTCCTACAACGGATCACAACACCTCACCAGCAAGGGAACAAGGCTGGATGGAAAATGAGTGTGATGAATTGACAGAAACAGGCTTCAGAAGGTGGGTAATAAGAAACTTCTGTGAGCTGAAAGAACATGCTCTAACCCCATGCAAAGAAACTAAGAACCTTGAAAAAAGATTTGACGAAATGTTAATGAGAATAAACAACTTAGAGAGGAACATAAGTGAATTGATGGAGCTGAAAAACACTACATAAGAACTTCACAAAGCATACACAAGTTTCAACAGCCGAACTGACCAAGCAGAAGAAAGGATACCAGATGTCGAAGATCAACTCAATGAAATAAAGTGAGAAGGCAAGATTAGAGAAAAAAGGGTAAAAGCAAATGAACAAAGTCTCCAAGAAGTATGGGACTATGTGAAAAGACCTAATCTACGTTTGATAGGTGTACCTGAATGTGACAGAGAGAATGAATCCAAACTTGAAAATACTCTTCAGGATATTATCCAGGAAAACTTCCCCAACCTAGCAAGGCAGGCCAATATTCAAGTCCAGGAAATACAGAGAGCACCACAACAATATTCCTCAAGAAGAGCAACCCCAAAGCACATAATCGTCAGATTCACCAGGGTTGAAATGAGGAAGAAAATGCTAAGGTCAGCCAGAGAGAAAGGTCGGGTTACCCACAAAGGGAAGCCCATCAGACTCACAGTAGATCTCTCAGCAGAAACCCTACAAGACAGAAGAGATTGGGGGCCAAAATTCAACATCCTTAAAGAAAAGAACTTTCGGCCGGGCGCGGTGGCTCAAGCCTGTAATCCCAGCACTTTGGGAGGCCGAGGCAGGTGGATCACGAGGTCAAGAGATCAAGACCATCCTGGTCAACATGGTGAAACCCCGTCTCTACTAAAATTACAAAAAATTAGCTGGGCATGGTGGCACGTGCCTGTAATCCCAGCTACTCAGGAGGCTGAGGCAGGAGAATTGCCTGAACCCAGGAGGCGGAGGTTACGGTGAGCTGAGATCGCGCCATTGCACTCCAGCCTGGGTAATAAGAGCAAAAACTCCGTCAAAAAAAAAAAAAAAAAGAAAAGAAAAGAAAAGAACTTTCAACAAGAATCTCATATCCAGCCAAACTAAGCTTCATAAGTGAAGGAAAAATAAAATCCTTTACGAACAAGCAAGTGCTCAGAGATTTCATCACCACCAGGCCTGCTTTACAAGAGCTCCTGAAAGAGGCACTAAACATACAAAGGAACAACCAGTACCAGCCACTCCAAAAACATACCAAATGGTAAAGAGCATCAACACAATGAAGAAACTATATCAACTAATGGGCAAAACAGCCAGCTAGCATCAAAATGGCCGGACCAAATTCACACTTAACAATATTAACCCTAAATGTAAATGGGCTAAATGCCCCAATCAAAAGACACAGACTGCCAAATTGGATAAAAAGCCAAAATCTATTGGTGTGCTGTATCCAGGAAACCCATCTCACATGCAAGGATACACAAAGGCTCAAAATAAAGAAACGGTGGAAGAATTACCAAGCAAATGGAGGGGAAAAAAAAAACAAAAAAAACAAAACAAACAAACAAAAAAAACAGGAGTTGCAATTCTGATCTCAGATAAAATAGACTTTAAAGCAACAAAGATCAAAAGAGACAAAGAAGGACGTTACATAATGGTAAAAGGGTCAATGCAACAAGAAGAGCTAATGATCCTAAGTATATACGCACCCAATACAGAAGCACCCAGATACATAAGGCAAGTTCTTAATGACTTACAAAGAGACTTAGACTACCAACAATAATAGTGGAAGACTTTAACACCCCATTGGCAATATTAGACAGATCAATGAGACAGAAAATTAACAAGGATATCCAGGACTTGAACTCAGACCTGGACCAAGCAAACCTAATAGACATTTACAGAACTCTCCACCCCAAGTCCACAGAATATACATTCTTCTTAGCACCACATCACACCTACTCTAAAATTGACCACATAATTGGAAGTAAATCACTCCTGAGCAAATGCAAAAGAACGGAAATCTTAACAAACAGTCCCTCAGACCACAGTGCAATCAAGTTAGAACTCGGAATTCAGAAACTAACTCAGAACCACACAGTTTCATGGAAACTGAACAACTGGCTCTTGAATGTTGACTGGATAAACAATGAAATGAAGGCAGAAGTAAAGATGTTCTTCGAAACCAGTGAGAACGAAGACACAACATACCAGAATCTCTGGGACACATTTAAAGCAGTGTCTAGAGAAAAATATATAGCAATAAATGCCCACACGAGAAGCAAGGAAAGATCTAAAATTGACACCCTGTAGTCAAAATTGAAAGAGCTAGAGGAGCAAGACCAAAAAAACTCAAAACCTAGCAGAAACAAGAAATAACTAAAATCAGAGCAGAACTCAAGGAGATAGAGACACAAAACCTTTCAAAAAAATCAATAAATCCAGGAGCTGGTTTTTTGAAAAGTTCAACAAAATAGACAGACCACTAGCCAGATTAATAAAAAAGAAAAGAGAGAATAATCAAATAGATGCAATAAAAAATGATAAAGGGGATATCACCACAGATTCCACAGAAATACAAACCATCATAAGAGATTATTACAAACATCAGAGATTATTATCTCTATGCACATAAACTAGTAAACCTGGAAGAAATAAATTCCAGGACACTTGCATCCTCCCAAGCCTAAACCAAGAAGAAGCCGAAACCCTGAATAGGCCAATAATAAGGTCTGAAGTGGAGGCAGCAATTAAGAGCCTACCACCCAAAAAATGCCTAGGTCCAGACGGGTTCACAGCCAAAATCTACCAGACATACAAAGAGGAGATGGTACCATTCCTTCTGAGACTATTCCAAACAATCCAAAATGAGGGAATCCTTACCAAATTATTTTATGAGACCAACATTGTCCTGATACCAAAACCTGGCAGAGACACAACAAGAAAAGAAAACTTCAGGCCAATATCCATGATGAACGTAGATGCAAAAATCTTCAATAAAATACTGGTAAACTCATGGTAACAGCACATCAAAAAGCTTATCCACCATGATCAAGTAGGCTTCATCCTGGGAATGGAAAGCTGGTTCAACATACACAAGTCTATAAACGTAATTCACCACATAATCAGAACCAAAGACAAAAACCACATGATTTTCTCAATTGATGCAGAGAAGGCCTTTGAAAAAATTCAACAGCCCTTTATGCTAAAAACCCTCAATAAACTAGGTATAGATGAAACATATCTCAAAATAATAAAAGCTATTTATGACAAACCAACAGCCAATATCATACTGAATGGGCAAAAAC